ACTTCAAGGAGAGCCAATCCAAATGCTAAAGATGCAGTAGAACTTCATATTTCCAAGCATCTCTCTTCTCTCCATTGGATCACCAAATGCATAGTCTAGACCCCTTTGAAAGGGTTGGCTTATCTTTTTAATGCAATTAGCATTTGGGAATATTAGAGGATTTAGCAAATCCTCTAATCACATGTTAGTGAAGCATTTTATCATTGCTTTATTGGAAACTGAGGTGCCTGTCAATAAATTTGTAGCAGATGATCTCAATGCTATACTGGGCAGTGTGAAGAAGATAGGAGGTGCACATATTTCAGTCTCAGATATCAGTACATCTATCCTTGATCTTCAAATTTTTGGTTTTGATCCCTCTAATGCTGATAGAGGGGATATTTTTCAATAAATGCATTTGGCTATTTGGAACGTTAGAGGATTAAATAAATCCTCTAAGCATGGGGTAGTGAAAAAGTTTATTCAGGAGTACAATATTTCTTTTCTAGCTCTCTTGGAAACTAAAATAGCTGGTGATGAGAAATTACAGATTATTGGTAAAAAAATTGCAAAAGAGTGGAAGTGGTTATCTAATAAGCATTTGGCAAATAATGCTAGAATATGGATTTTGTGGGATAGTAAAATGTTCTCAGTTCAAGTGGTTAAATCCTCTGATTAATATATTTCCTATGATATGAAGTCTAAGGAGGGTAAATTGTCATGTTTGTTCACTGCAGTTTATGCTCACAATCAGAATGATGAAAGGAAAACTCTTTGGGAAGAACTATTAGATTTCAAAAGGAGTGTTGATTGCCCATGGTTGGTGGGTGGGGATTTCAATGCCTTTGTAAATGGTGATGAAAGAATTGGAGGTGCTCAGGCATCTGGAGCTGGTAATGATGACTTTCAAAGATTTATTTCATCTAGTCAGCTGAGTTATATAAAAACTACTGGTTGGTTTTTCACATGGAGCAACAAACAAGATGCTGAAACAAGAGTCTGCAGCAGGCTGGACAGAACCTTGGTGAATGAAGATTGGGTTTCTCAATATACTACAAGTCAAGTGGAATATTTGATGCCTCTTTGCATGTTAGGGGGTATAACATGTACAGACTTTTTTCAAAACTCAAAAATCTCAAGTATGCTCTCAAGGACCTAAACTAGGGGGTATAACATGTACAGACTTTTTTCAAAACTCAAAAATCTCAAGTATGCTCTCAAGGACCTAAACAAGAAGAATTACATGAATATTAGTCATTTCAAAACTCAAAAATCTCAAGTATGCTCTCAAGGACCTAAACAAGAAGAATTACATGAATATTAGTCAGCAAGTTTTAAGAGCTCAAGCTAAGCTTTTGGATATTCAAACCAAGTTGAGTACTGACCTTTATAATCCTGTTTTGATATCAAAGGAGAAGGATTGCATTAAGAAATATACTATTTTGCTAGAAAATGAAAATTCATTCCTAAGGCAAAAAGCTAACATCAAATGGGGACTTCATTCAGATAAGGGCTCTCGATTCTTTCATTCAGTTATGAAATCAAAGAGGCACCAGAACAGAATTTTGTTTATATACACTGCAAATGGCTCTAGAATTATAGAATTGCCTGAAATTACGTCAGAGCTTATTGAATACTATAAGAAGTTGCTGGGATATGCTAAGGCCAACTCAACTACTGATCCTTGTGTAATCTCTAATGGTCCTATTTTAACCTCTGCTTAGCAGCATGAACCGAGTTCTCCTGTTTCTAGGGAAGAGATTAAGCAAGCATTATTTTCAATGCCTGATAGCGAGGCTCCTGGGCCTGATGGTTTCAATGCTTACTTCTTTAAAGCTGCATGGAGTATCATCAGTGAGGATCTTTTTCTAGCAGTTGAGGAATTCTTTCACTCAGGTATCCTTTTGGGTTCCCTTAATACTACTTCTATTACTCTTGTGCCCAAGGTCCTTAACCCTATCTCAGCTGCTGATTATCGACCTATTTCTTGCTGCAATGTCATCTATAAAATCATCTCAAAAGTTATTGCTAGTACGGTGGAAAATATTATAGGCTATTTAGTTAATGATGCTCAGTGTGCTTTTGTAAAAAGGGAGGCTTATATCCAGCAGCTTCTTGCTTGCTCATGATCTTATTAAACACTATGGAAGGAAAAACAACTCCCCAAGAGCTATTTTGAATGTTGATCTGAGGAAGGCCTTTGATACTATTAGATGGGATTTCATAAGGAGCATGTTGATTGAATTGGGCTTTCCTAACAATATGATTTGTTGGATCATAGAATGTATCTCTACCCTAAAATTTTCTTTTGCACTTAATGGGGGACTGCATGGCTATTTTCATGGTGCTAGAGGCTTAAGACAAGGGGATCCCCTCCCCCCCTATCTTTTTATCATTGGGATGAAATTCCTATCTAGAAAGCTTAGTGCTCTAAAGGATGATTCCTCTTTCAAATTTCACCCTCAATGTTCTAGACTGAAGATTAATCACCTGATTTTTGCCGATGACTTGCTGCTGTTATGCAAAGCTGACATGAACTCTATTGAGAAAATTTCAGCATGTCTTCAAGAGTTTGGTCAAGTTTCAGGTTTGGAAGCTAATTCAAGCAAGTGTTCTGTCTACCTGAGTGGAGTTAATAACAGCCTCAAAGCTCAAATATGCAACTTTCTAAAGTTCCCTGAGGGAGTACTACCTATGAAATATTTGGGACTTCCACTTAATGCTAAAAGGCTCTCTTATATAGATTGCTCTAGCCTTATTGGAAAAATCAGCAATCAATTTCAATCCTGGCAACAAAAAAGATGTTTGTCTTATGGTGGTAGACTTGAATTGATTAAATCTGTTATTCTGGGCATTCAAACATATTGGATTAGCAATTACATTTTGCCAATAAAAACTTTGGAGAAAATTGACAGATTGTGTTCTGAATTTCTTTGGGGTCATAAATTTCACTTGGTGAATTGGGAATTTGTTTGTCAAGGGAAGAAGCAAGGGGGTCTGGGGATTTTTTTCAGCAAAGTTCTGGAACTATGCTGCTGCTACAAAGCTCCTATGGATGGTTCATCTTAAAAAGGATCTACTATGGATCAAGTGGATACATGAGAACTATTTACAGAATCAAAATGTCTGGGATGTTCAACCCAAGTCAAATGATTCATGGATGTGGAGACAACTCCTTAAGGTGAGAGATATGTTGCTGCACAAGTATGGAAGTGCTAATAATATAAAGAATGCTATAGCTGAATGCTACACTGATGATAATCTTCAATTATCTGCGGTGTATAGTACTCTTGTCTAGCCTACCAACGTAGCTGCCTGGGCACAAACTGTTTGGGATGGCTTTCTATATCCTAAACATTCTTTTATATTGTGGCTAGCTTGTCATTCAAGATTTCTCACCAAGGATAGATTGTGCCGAATGGGTATTCTGAGTACAAATCAGTCTCATTGTGTCCTATGTAATGGTCACCAATTGGAGACTAGGAACTATGTTTTCTTTGAGTGTCAATACTCAGCTGAAGTCTGGAACTTGGTGATGGACTGGCTGAGATATAGGTGGAGGACTTGTGTTTGGAGCCTGATTTTGAATTAGTACTCCTCTAATTTGAAAGGCAAGGGCTCTATGGTGAAATTGAAGAGGATGTGTCTCTCCACTATATTTTATATGATTTAGAAGGAGAGGAACCTTAGGGGGGTTAATCACCTAGAACTTAGAATTGGAACTGGGATAATATATGAGATAAATTTTTAAGGTATTTGTCACATAGAAGTAAAACTAGAATATTAATTTTACAGTGTTAGTCAAGTAGAACTTTAACAAAACTAGAATTAGGATAATGATATAAAATTATCCCACTTTTTTTAATTTTTTATAAATAATAAGAGTTCTAGTCTCTCAAATTATTTCAAGTTTTAGCTTGGAAGTAGGTGGTAAAAAACTAGAACTCATATTTATTTTGTTATTTTTTATTTTTTTTCTTTACTTCTTTCCTATTATGGATATCACCATTATTAGACCATCATTATAATAATAATTGTCAATATCTTATAGTCTAACCAAAAGTTATTTAATAGTAAAGAATATTCTTGTAAGCAATTATCAATCAATAATAGTAAGTTTAAAATACATAAATAGTATTTATATCTTCAAAATGCATAAATATATATTTCATGATTATAAAAATTTATCCTATGTTATTTTATCAAAATATCCCGTTTCATAAAATTGTTCCTATTTATCCCACTAAAATATCCCACTAGCAAAAAATTATTCTATTTTAATAATTATCCCATTTTGCATGAAAATGTCCAAATTGACTAACACCCCCTTAGAATCTTTCAAGTAAAAGAAAGGCAACCTGCTCAGACTTTTAGAGATATCAAACTTTTAGTTTTTTCAAAAGTTCAAAATGACAGTATATATGTGCATATAAATGAGTTACTTGAAAACTTGTAAATTTTGCTTTTGGTTTCCAGGCTTTCTGGTTCCTTGCTGTTCTACACATTGTTTCAAAATTGGAAAATGAATAAAATTTAGTTCATTGACCAAAAAAAAAAAAAAAAACACATCCTAGTCAAATTCTGCACTTAAAACTCAAAATTTCTCTTAAAAACTGGCATTAAATGTATATGACTCATTTTTGTAGTGTTTAGGTCTTGTTAGGATCGATACAACTCAAGTATTTTGAACTTGAATTTTAAGCTTGTTTTTTATTTTTAGTGAAAATTTGATTAGGAGGTGGTTGATTACAACAATACCTACTTTGAATGTGGTTTTTGTTCAAAGTGAAAATAAAAAAGTGGTTTCTATATAATTACCCTATTGTTAAGATGGTTTGAAGCAAAAAATCCAATATTATATGCAACTTTGAGTCTCATAGCTTCGCATTAAAAAGTTCAAAACAGCCCCCTACCCTACCACCAAAAAAAAAGTTCAAAATAATATCATAACAAAAACATAAATAC